AGTCAGTCAGCCGCAATACCTGCCCTGTCCCCTTTGACCTCGGCCAGGCGGCCAGGTGTCCACTCCAGCATCTGCTGATGGGGATGCAATGAGGGCTAGGGATCCTTTGAGAAGTTCCCAGGCCTCCGGGACGGGCGGGGAGGGGAGGAGGTGGGGAGAGGGGCCGAGCTCAAGGTCCCTGCCTTTGAAGTCCGCCAGCTCCAGTTTCACACAGGAATGGAGTTACCAGACCCCCAGCAGGAGGGGTAGAGTGTGGAGAGGGAGGAGCCTCGATCCTGGGTCTCCTGGGAGGGAGTGGGCCGCAGACGGGGAGACCCAGAGGAGACCCCCCTCTCCAGGCGGGAATGAAACATGAAGGCTGTCCCAGCACTAACTGGCTGTGTGACCTCAGGCAAGTCTTCTCTTTCTAGAGCCTCGATCGGCCCTCTTGTAAAATGGGCATGGCAGGGCCTGCCTCAAGGGGGCGCTGCAGGGATGCGCTGAGACGGGGGCGCACTGTCTCCCTCTAACGCGCACCCTCACTGGGTTCGGGGGCGTCTGCGCGTTAATCCTGCCGGGAGCCAGGCATCCCGGGTCCTGTTCTCTGCGTTGGAGGCGCTCCTGAAACCGTTCTCAGTTCCGGGCATGGATATGTGCAGCCTGTTGGGACCCTGGCCCTTCCTCCATTTTCCTGAGTTTGGACAGACCCCTGCTGCTTCCTGGCTCGGGGTGGGGGTGGGGGGGGGTGCCTAAGTGTGGGGAGTGGAGTGTCCTGGTAACCCCTGCCTACCCCACCCAGCCAACTTCCTCTCTCTACAGGCACGGCCCCTTCGGAGAGCCTGAGCACCTGTGCCTCAGACCCGTGCGCTCCAGGGACTGAGTGCCAGGCGACGGAGAGCGGTGGCTACACCTGTGAGCCCACGGAGCCCCGGGGCTGTGCCACCCAGCCATGCCACCACGGCGCCCTGTGTGTGCCCCAGGGTCCAGATCCCAACGGCTTCCGCTGCTACTGCGTGCCTGGCTTCCAGGGCCCACGCTGTGAGCTGGACATCGATGAGTGCGCGTCCCGACCCTGCCACCACGGGGCCACCTGCAGCAACCTGGCCGATCGTTACGAGTGCCACTGTCCCCTCGGCTATGCAGGTAATGGCCCCGGCTGCCCCTGGAGGAGGTCTGTCATGTCGATCCCATCAGAGGCTCAGAGTGTAAAATCACAAATTCAGCTTTGACTTTAGCACGGAGACCCACCAGGCACCTGGCAGCTCTGGATGAGAGTAGGAAGGTGTGAGCGCTGGCACGGTGCCTGGCACGTAACAGCAGTGGACAAATGTTACTTCACTCCCTTCTAGAGTTCAGTTTGGTGCTGGGCATGGAGACGCCCTTCAGGCATCTCTGGTGGGACTGGAGCGTGGACATGCCTGGTTTGGCCTTAATGAGGACATGTCTAGATAGTATTTCTAGCATCTACTCATTTCAGACCTGTGTCAGGCTGTAGTGTAGACACTGTCTGACCGTTCATCTGACGGTTCTGGAGTATGAACACCCCTGGGATGGGTCAGGTTGTAGTGTGGACCCCTCCCCTCTGGGTGGCTCCCAAAGCTTCAGCATAGAGACACTGGTTGTGGCATTCAAATTGGAATGGAGATGTACCCCAGGGAAGTCTGCTGTCTCGAGCGGGATAAGGTATATATGACTGGCACTGGGGAAACACTCACTCCTTCCCCAGAGTATGGCCCTGCCTGTCCAGGCTCCAAGGCAAGAGCATCCTGGAGTGATGGCCTGGAAGTCAGGAAGGAGGGCGCAGCTGGGGACAGGTCTGGGGGTGAGGCCAGTCTATGACGGTTGGGATCCTGCAGCAGAGACACTCCATGTTCTGCTTTAACCCTGAATTCAGACAACTCTGAGGCCAGAGGGCAGTTTGAGGTCACCTCAGAGCAAGGGGTACAGCATAGGGGGACTGGCTTCCAGGAGAGGGGGCTTCCAGGGAAGAGAGGGATCTTGGCACCCGCATGAAAGTCGATTTTGGAAACAGGTTCCATGTATCCTTCTCGTCATTGCAGCGTCCTGGTGTCTGGATATATTAGCTGTGTGTGTGTGAGCGAGGTCACGTAAGGGGCCTCTGTGTGTCTGCCAGTACCTGCGGGTGTCTGGCTCCCTGAATGCATTTGTGCTGAACAGTGTGTGAGTGCCAGCAGGTGTGTGTGCGCCCGGATGTGTTCGCTCGGATGCTTTGGGTAACGCTTTCTGGGTGAGTTGTGGATGTGAGTGGGGGCAGCATCTGCTGTGACTCATTTCTCTCCTCATCCTCCCGTCCCGAGCCAGGCGGGGGAGGTTGGGATTCCAGGCAGCTTGGGCCTGGCTCCCCCTGGCACAGAGGGTGGGAGTGGGCTGGGGCAGGAGCAGTGAGGGGTCACAGGAGGGAGGGGCCCTGTTTTGTGCTCACTGAGCGTGGAAGGGGGGAAGCTTCCAGCTGGAGTCAGCTGTGCCCCTGGCCCTCCCCCGACCAATCCCAGTTAGGGGGCAGGCGCAGGGCCTCTGGAGTCGGCAATGGCATGTGGGCTCCGTGATGAGCTCAGGCAGCACATTTCCAAACCCTGAGACTGTCTGTCCATCTCCCTTCATCTCTGCAGCTCCTCCCGGAGGGCTGTCCAGTCGTCTTGCTTTTGCCTAGGATGGAGGGGGTTCCCTGGACCGGGGACTTTCAGTTTTCAAAGCCAGACAGTGCAGGGAAACCCAGGAAGAGCTGGTTACTCCATTCCAGCCTCTCCCACTGGGGTATGTCCCTCCTCCCTGGGGTCCCTCCTTACACCCTCTTCAAAGCCAGCAGAGTGAGCCTTCTAAATTGTAGACAGGACCGTGTAACTCAGCTGCTTAAAACTTTTCGGAGAAGCCCTGCTTGTGTTCCGGGGCCCTCAAGGCCTCACCTCCTCCACGTTCCCCTTTGCTCCTGACCCTCCCTGCGCCCCCTGCCCTTGGACATCATGCCCCTGCCCCCAGCAGGTCTTGACCAATGGTCCCTCTGGAGAGACCCACAATCTCTCTGGAATCCAACTGCTGGCACAGCCCCCTTTCCTAGTCTAATGAACGCCCCCTCATCCTTTAAAAGGCTCTTCTTCCAAGAAGCCTTCCCTGCCTCCCAATTCCCCAGGCCGAGACCCTGGCTCTTGCTTTCACAGGATCCAATATGTTCCCATTGTTGAGCTCTTCAAAATTAAAATCCAGTCCTCACTGATGTAATATTGACCTAATCCTCGTCTCCCGGGCTAGACCGCAGTGAGCTCAAAGGGGCAGGGACATCTGTCTTGTTTCTACTCCATTACCATTGGTGGCGCAAGACACACCTGCTCTGGATGAATGGACCGACAGATTCTCTCGTTGGATCCTCACTTTCTGCTCCTTCTAACTGTCTGGAGGCGGTTTCATGTCGGCCTGTCCCGGCCTCTTTCGCCCTCCCTCTGGGTGTCCATCTCTGTGTGTCTCTGGCCCTGTCCAGGTGTGACCTGCGAGACCGAGGTGGACGAGTGCGCCTCGGCGCCGTGCCTGCACGGGGGCTCGTGCCTGGACGGCGTGGGCTCCTACCGCTGCGTGTGCTCGCCGGGCTACGCGGGTGCCAGCTGCCAGCTGGACCTGGACGAGTGCCAGAGCCAGCCGTGCGCCCACGGGGGCGTGTGCCACGACCTGGTCAACGGGTGAGCAGGCAGCAGGGTGCCCTAAGGCGGGGGTGCTGCGCGGTGGGCCGGGGTACGCGGTGGAGGCAGGTGGGCTGGAGGGCCGGGCGCGCGCTCAGCTCCGGCCGCGCGCCCCGCTCCAGGTTCCGGTGCGACTGCGCGGACACCGGCTACGAGGGCGCGCGCTGCGAGCAGGAGGTGCTGGAGTGCGCGTCGGAGCCCTGCGCGCACAACGCGTCCTGCCTCGAGGGCCTCGGGAGCTTCCGCTGCCTCTGCTGGCCAGGTGTGTGTGCGAGGGCACGTGCGCGTGCTCAGGCTGGCGGGGCACGGCCTGGGGCGGGGCCCAGTCAGTGTGCGCCTGTGCGCACGCGCCCTTGGTGGACCAAGCCGGGGGTGTGCATGCGATCGCAAGTTCTGTGAGCCTCAGTTTCCTGATCTGCAAAATAGGGCTAATGATGCGCCTGCTCCTAGGGGTGTTGCGAGGAGCGTAAAGGGATAATGCCCATGAAGCCTTAGCACAGGGCCTGGCACGTCAGAGTGCTCAGCAGTACCCGTAGTAAGGGCGATGCTGACATGATGCTGATGAAGGCTGCATGGTCATTCTGACCGCGCTGGATGCGTCCCTCCCTCACTGTTGGTGACCATATTCCGAGCTATCAGCCCAACCTGGCCCTGGGCTGGCCTGGCGGCAGTGGAGGGTGCTGCCAAGTAACCCCATGTGACACGATGCCCCCGTGTGTGTGTGTCCCCAGGCTACAGCGGCGAGCAGTGCGAGGTGGATGAGGACGAGTGTGCACCCGGCCCCTGCCAGCACGGGGGCCAGTGCCTGCAGCGCTCAGACCCAGCCCTCTACGGGGGTGTCCAGGCCACCTTCCCTGGCGCCTTCAGCTTCCGCCATGCTGCAGGCTTCCTGTGCCGCTGCCCTCCGGGCTTTGAGGGTGAGCCCCGTTCCTCCCTTGTAGGGAAGCAGGTCTGCCAGTGTTCAGGTGCATGGGGAGAGACGCAGGGCAGGCTCAAGGCATCCCTGCACGAATCTGGTGCCACGCTGCCTGAGTCAGCGCCTCTCTCTGGGCCTCAGTCTCCCTAGCTATCAAACGGGCCTTCCAGCTCCGGTCCATCTTGCAGGGGACGACTGTGCTGTGGATGTGGACGAGTGTGCCTCAAGGCCATGCTTCAACGGAGGCCGCTGCCAGGACCTGCCCAATGGCTTCCACTGCCACTGTCCAGATGGCTACACAGGTGCCTGGGGTGGGGGGCGGGGTGGGCACTGGGGCAGGGCAAAAATCAGAATTGGTGGGCCTGGGGTGGGAGGGTTCCTCTGGCTGATGTGTGGAGGCTGAATTGACGGGGGACAAGGAGATCAGGGAGGAGGTGGGTGCGGTGGCCCAGGTGACAGCTAAGAGGGGCTGAGCTGGGACCCGGGTTTTAGAGGTGAGAGTGGAGGGAACTAATCGAGTTGAGAAATATTTAGGAGGAACACTCTGTAGGTCCTGGGGTGTGAGTGGGAGGGGTCAGGACTCTGGCTGAGTTTCTGTCCTGGGTGACACTGGGTGGAGGATGGTGAGGTCAGCCTTGGCCATGCTAAGTCTGAGTCCCCCCATGGCCGGGAGCCTGTGTGGGGGCTGGTGGTCCGGGGTCTGGGGCCCAGGAGAGGGGTCTGGGCTGGAGCCAGAGACTGGGGGTCAGGAGTGTAATCCTGGCAGCTGGGGCCGTGGGCAGCAGAGGCTGTCTGGGAGAATGTGGAGTGATGGGCAGAGAGAACCCTAGACACCTGACATCAAAGGCTGGGCGGAGCCGAGGGGCCTGCAGAGGGGAGGACAGAGGCAGCTCCTCCAGGAGGGAGGAGGTAAAAGGGGGCTTTACACATAGAAGGAGGAGCTTGACCTCTGGGGAGCTGGGCCTGTTGGGCAGGAGCTGGGGTGCAGAAGGCCTCTCCCTGCCTTGGGTACAGCAGATGCACAGACACCCTTCCACATGGACGCAGTGAACCCAAGGAGCTCAGACACTCAGCGACCCTGCCCCCTCTGGAATGCCCGCGGCTCTTCCCCCGCGCCCGCCCGCATTCCTGCTCGGCACACGGCCTCCTCTGCCTGGCAGGCTTCCTGGGCACAGGCTCCCCCGCCCAGGGGAATGAGGTGGTGACCACCACCGTCCCTTCCACCCTCACCCGCCCAAAGCCACCAGGGCTCAGCATCCCCACCTCTGGTGGCCAACACCCCTGGGGGCCCTGGAAACCCACCTTCTGCCCCTGTGGGCCGAGATCTGGAATTCTGCCCCGGGAGCCTCACGGGCGCCTGGCACACAGTGGGCCCACTTCGTGTACCCGCCTCTGAACAGCATTCTCTGTGTGTTCTGTCTCCTCCTCCCCACGGTCCCATGAAGTAGGAGCTCTAAGTCCTCATCTTACAGAGGCGATGGAGACTTCAGAGAGGGGGTGTCATCCCCCAGGGTCACCAGCGTCAGTGGGAGCCCAGCTTCTCCCCAAGCTGGGCTCAGGTGATGGGTGACAGGGAGGTCAGACCTCTGAGGTCAGGGACCGGGAGGGGTGACCCTGGCTGTGGGCTGGGCTCTTTGCCGCCGTCCATCCTGATCCTCCCTTTGGGTCATGCTGGGTGTGGGGGAGGCCAGTGCCTGGCATTCCTGAGCCGGCTCCGAAGGAGGCTGCCGGGCCAGGCGGGGAGCTCTGCTCCCCAGCCCCGGTGCCCGCCCACCACTCTCGGCTGGTCTGGGGGAAATGCAATGGGGCTGCGGGCTCTGCAGACCTTCCTGGGGGGCTTGTGGCTCCTGGCAGGTATGCAGGGCTGGGGACTCTGGCAGCGGGAGGTGGGGCTGGCTGTCCCGGAAGGAGGCTGTGGTGTTTGTGGGCTGACTGGGCCAAGATTCAAATCCTGGGGGCTTCTCTGGGCCTGGGTTCCTCCAGCCGGGATACGGGGCCAGGCTGGCCTTGGTTGCTTTGCGGAGGCTCTGGCCGACCTGGGCTTGGGCTGTGGCCTCTTGACCTGAGCTGGGCCCAGAGCCCCTGGCGTGTGCGCTCCGGGGCGCGAGGGTGAGGTGGGCCCTTCACAGCCAGCGTGGGGGCCCTAGGGCAGAGGGACTCGGGGTTAGAACCTGGGGCTAATGGAGTGCCACTGATGCATACCCCACCCCCATTTCATCACTCTGTCTGGCAAAGCCCTGCCAGGCTCTTTGCTGGGCACCAAGGACATACTCAGGCCACTGGAGGGGATCTCAGCTGAGTAAACAGATACTTGCAACACAGGGTCCTGGGGAGCTGTGCCTCAGAGTGGACAGGTTGTTGGGAGTGACACGGTAGCTTCGGGTTGGGAGTCAGAGAAAGGCTGTTAGGGGACTGGCCCTTTGAATTTGGGCTTTGCAGGATGAGTAGGAGTTTGAAAGGCAGGGTAAGGGAGGACAAGGTGTTCTAAGCAGAGGGAACAGTATGAACAAAGCCCCAGAGGCAAGACTTTCCAGGAAACACTTGGAGGAATTGGCAGTTCAAGGCTGAAGGGAGCAGGGTTGAGACTTGATTGCCTAGCAGAGGGATCTCGAATGCCAGGGTGAGTGGTTGGACCTTAAGCAGCAGAGGAACCTGGCCAGGTGATGCTTTAGAAGTAGATCTCTGGCTGCTTGTGGATGTACAGGGGTTTCTGAAGGCAGGAGAATTGGAGGCCACTAGACTGTGGCCAGGAGAGCTGGGGGGGCAGGAGGGTGGTTGGGAGAAACGGGGGTTTGGAGGGTGTCTCAGGGACTGAACCCACAGGGCACGGGGACTCACTGGTTATGTAAATGAAGGGGGATCTTGGATTCCAGCCTCTGAAGTCTTCAAGGGACCATGAAAAATTTTTTGGGAATTGGGAATTGGTTTGGTTGATAGGTACTGAGGTCTCTGTCCCAAGAGGCATGTAAGATCTAGGTCGAGACGGTGGTTCTGGCCTTGGGTGCTGAGCCTTGGCCTGGTCTTTCCTGAAGGCCTGACATGTCAGGAAGATGTGGATGAATGCCTCTCAGAGCCCTGTCTTCATGGTGGGACCTGTGATGACACCGTGGCGGGCTACATCTGCTGGTGCCTGGAGGCCTGGGGTGGGCATGACTGTTCTGTGAAGCTCACTGGCTGCCAGGGCCACACTTGCCCACCGGTTGCTACCTGCATCCCCACCTTCGAGTCTGGGGTCCACAGTTACACCTGCCGCTGCCCACCAGGTACCCATGGACCTTTTTGTGGCCAGAATACCACCTTCTCCCTGGTGGCTGGGACCCCTGTGCGGGCTTCGGTGCCTGCTGGTGGCCCCCTGGGTCTGGCACTGAGGTTTCGCACCACGCTACCCACTGGTGCCTTGGCCACTCGCACTGACACCCAGGACAGCTTGGAGCTCGCACTGGCAGGGGCCACGCTTCAGGCCACACTCTGGAGCCATGGCAACCCTGTGCTCATCCTGAGGCTGCTGGACCTGGCCCTAAATGATGGCCACTGGCACCGAGTGGAAGTGACGCTCCACCTGGGGGTCCTGGAGCTGCGCCTCTGGCACGAGAGCTGCCCTGCCCGCCTCTGTGTGGCCTCCAGTCCTGTGGCCCCGGCTCCCACAGCTTCTGTGGCTCCGACGCCTGTCTGGCTCTGCTCGGCCCAGCTGGGTGGCGCGGCCTTTGCAGGCTGTCTCCAGGACGTGCGCGTGGATGGGCACCTCCTGCTCCCTGAGGATCTCGGTGAGAATGTCCTACTGGGCTGCGAGCGCCATGACCCATGTCAGCCTCTGCCTTGTGCCCACGGAGGGACCTGCGTGGACCTGTGGACTCACTTCCATTGCGACTGCCCTCGGCCCTATGGTGGTCCCACGTGCGCTGATGGTGAGGAACCAGCCAGGTGGGCCCCAGAGCAGAGGCGGGGCTGTCCCCCAGCCGGCAGGCCTCACACACGGCACCCTCTCTCCCCACAGAGGTTCCTGCTGCCACCTTTGGCTTGGGGGGCACCCTGAGCTCTGCCTCCTTCCTGCTCCACCAGCTCCCAGGCCCTAACCTCACTGTGTCCTTTCTCCTCCGCACCCGAGAGTCTGCTGGCCTGCTGCTCCAACTTGCCAACGACTCAGCCGCTAGCCTGACAGTGTTCCTGAGAGAGGGCCAGATCTGGGCTGAGGTGCTGGGCAGTCCTGCTCTGGTGCTCCCCGGGCGCTGGGATGATGGGCTTCGCCACCTGGTGACACTCAGCTTTGGGCCTGACCAGCTGCCGGGCTTGGGGCAGCAGGTGCACGTAGCGGGGAGGCTCCCCCCAGCTGACACCCAGCCCTGGGGTGGGCCCTTCCGAGGCTGCATCCAGGACCTGCGACTCAATGGCCTTCACCTCCCCTTCTTTCCGCTGCCACTGGGGAACTCAAGCCAGCCCGACGAGCTGGGCAGCAGGCAGTCCTGGAACCTCACCATGGGCTGCATCTCCGAGGACATGTGCAGTGTGAGTGCCCGGGAAAAGGGGTGGGTACCCCGCATCTCTAGACGTTAGCATGTTCTGCTGGTGAGGAAAGTGCCAGGAGGCGAAGCCCTGCCCAGGGTCCCACAGCAGGAGAGCGGCAGGGTTGGGTCCAGCCACCTCCTCTCTGGCCCAGCGGCCCTGCCCTCTGGTGCTCCCCATCCCTCCTCCCCAGTCCTGGTCTGAGACAGTCACAGTGACCCAGGCACAGGGCTGCCCGAGCCTTTCTGCAGGAGCTGCCTGGGGGACAGGGACACCCAAGGGTTCATGGACAGAGCACCAGCTCTGGCACTGGAACAGCCTGGGTATGAACTCTAGCTTCTCTTTGTGCTGGCTGGGTGACTCAGGCCACCTCTCTGAGCCTCAGTTTCCTCATCTGCACAATGGGGAGGATAGCGACTTCCTCTCTGTTTGTTTGTGAGGAGGTGACGGTCACTCAGTGAGGAGCCACTGCAGTGCGGGTTATGGTGGCTGATGCTGGCCCCAGGCCCGAGCCAACCTGCCCCGATTCTCCTGCAGCCTGACCCCTGTCTCAATGGTGGGACTTGCCTCGTCACCTGGAATGACTTCCATTGCACCTGCCCTGCCAACGTTACGGGGCCCACGTGTGCCCAGCAGCTGTGGTGTCCTGGTCAGCCCTGCCTCCCGCCTGCCACCTGCGAGGAGGTCCCTGATGGCTTTGTCTGTGAGTGTGTGCCCTGGGCAGCCCCCCTGCTGGATGCTGGACACTGAAGCTGATCCAACATCCTCTCAGGGCTCAGAGACAGGGGACCAGGATGCCAACAGCCCCAGCCCAGTGTGGCTGGGCCATTGCATCCAGAGGGACAGACTTTCCGGAGGAAGAGAACATTCACTAGGTTTTCAAGGGCAAATAAGACTCTGATCTGGCCTAGGGAAGGGCATTTCAGGGAGGGACAATCACATGTGCAAAGGCCTTGAGGTTTATAAGAACGGAAACACAAGTACAGGTATTGGGGTGGGCAGGTGGCCGGGGACCTTGAATGCTGGGCCAGGCAGAGCAGGACTTTCTCCCAAGGGCAGTGGGGAGCCAGAAGGGAGACATGATCAGCACTTAAAAAAAAATGACTGCATTTTATTAGAATGCACGATCAGCATTAAAAAAAGAATGCTTTTAAAAAGAGTGCAGTGAAGACTGAACCTCAGTGCCGAGACAGGGCAACTTCACCGAGGAAGGAAGGGGGCAGCTATTTCCGGGGTTTTTATTGCCTGGTCTGTGACCTGGAGGGTGGGGTGGGGTGGGGGGGGGTCTCCCCAGCACAAGCCCAGAGCTGGTTCTCTCTCGAGAGGGAAGGGAGCCGCGGTGGCGGGCGCTGCGGACCCTGGGATTAGATGATGGGCGTGTGCGCGCCCCGCCCCGAGATGGGCCAGGGCAGTGGGGGATGGTGTCGCCCACGGGCTGGTGCCGGCGGGCCCGCCCCGACGCTCCCTCTCCCCGCAGGTGTGTCAGAGGCCACGTTCCGCGAGGGCCCCCCGGTCGCATTCAGCGGGCACAACGCGTCGTCGGGGCGCTCGCTCAGCGGCCTCTCGCTCGCTTTCCGCACGCGCGACTCCGAGGCCGGGCTGCTGCGCGCCTCCGCGGGCGCCGCCACCGCCGCCGCCGTCTGGCTGGCCGTGCGCAACGGCTCGCTCGTGGCCGGTGTGCGCAGTGGCCGCGGCCTGCCCGGCGCCGTGCTCCCCGCGCCCGGGCCGCGCGTGGCCGACGGCGCCTGGCACCGCGTGCGCCTGGCCATGGAGCGCCCGGCGGCCGCCGCGTCGCACTGGCTGCTCTGGCTGGACGGCGCGGCGACGCCCCTGGCGCTGCGCGGCCTGGCCGGGGACCTGGGCTTCCTGCGCGGCACGGCCGCCGCGCCCGTCCTGCTGGCCGAGAACTTCACCGGCTGCTTGGGCCGCGTGGCGCTCGGCGGCCTCCCGCTGCCCCTGGCGCGCCCCCGGCCCGGCGCGGCCCCCGGCTCCCGAGAGCACTTCTCCGCCTGGCCCGGGGCGCCCGGCCCGCGCCTTGGCTGCCGGGGCGCGCCCGTGTGTGTCCCCTCGCCCTGCCTGCACGGCGGCGCCTGCCGAGACCTCTTCGACGCCTTCGCCTGCGCCTGCGGCCCCGGCTGGGAGGGCCCGCGCTGCGCCGCCCGCGCCGACCCCTGCCGCTCGGCGCCCTGCGTCCCCGGCCGCTGCCACGCGCGCCCCGACGGCCGCTTCGAGTGCCGCTGCCCGCCGGGCCTCGCGGGCCCGCGCTGCAGGTGCCCGAGGGGCGCGGTCGTCACCGGGAGGGTCGGGGCGCGGGCGCCGAGAGGCGGATCGCAGGGGACCCCTGGGGCGGTGGGGGGCACAGAAGGCCGAGAGCCCGGCTGCCGATGCGCTGGTTCTGTGGGCCACCCGCTTCCCTGCTGAGCTTCACTGCCCTCGTGTGTGAGATGGGGACGACAGCCCTGTCGGGTTGCCAGAGAAAATACAGGACACCAGACGAATTTGAACTTGAGATCAACAAGTTGGGGGTGTGGCCTGAGGGAGCCCAGAGCAAGTCCCGGAAGAAAACCTGGAGGCTTTCCTGCCTCGCGGCCACCACTGATGCTCACCCGGGTCATCCAGGAGGGCGGCGGGGCAGAGTGATGGTTCGCCGGGTCGACGCCTCCCCTGTTGCGTCTGGCTCCCACTCCCGCTCCCTTTGGAGCCCAGCTTGTGGAGAGCTGTCTGGCCGAGGCCTGACTCTCCCCTCCGCCCTCAGGGAACGTCAGGCCCCCCGTTTTCTGTTTAGGAGCATGCTTTTGTTCTGAGGAGAGTCCTCCATCCTCCGAGGACCTGGGGAAAGGTCCCTGCCCTGGCCTGGAGTTGTCCACCTTGTAGGAGGTGGGGCTGGAGCAGCAGGGTGACTGCCCTGTGTCTGGTCCCTTCCACCTCAGATGCCACTTCTGTGACTGGTAGCCCAGTGTGTGAGAGGCGGGCCCTGAATTCCACAGATGACAGACCAGAGGCTCAGGTGGCCTGTGGTCAGGGGGTGGGGATGGGCCAGTCCCAGGTGGCTTGCTGGCAGTCCAGCCTCTCTGCTTTCTCCCCAGGTCTCCTGTCCTGCCAGAGGAGTGCAGCCTGAACTCCACCTGCATCAAGGGTGGCCCATGTGAGGGAGGACCCAGGGGTGCCAACTGCAGCTGCCGGGAAGGCTTTCCTGGCCAGAGGTGGGTTTTGGGGCCAGGGTCCTGGGAGGTGGGCGGGTGAGTGTGGAGAGCTGGGCAGGGTGGGCCCCTGGATCCCCTCCAACCAGGGCAGGCAAAGTGGGGTGTGGATCCCCGCTCACTTCTCAGCCCTCCCTGTCATCACAGTGCCAGACAGTCCACGTCTGTCACTGGAGTTCCTTCTTTCTGAGGCTTCCAGGACCATCCTTTGTTGGGCAGACACCTGTGGGGAAGTAGTTGCCTGGGGGCGTTTCTTAGAGCCCCGGCCTCAGCCCACCTGCATCGGGACGGCCTGGAGAGACTGTGAAAGTGCGGTCCCCGGCCCACTCCAGACGGATGGAGTCAGAGTCCCTGGGCAGCTACCCTTACACAGGCTTCCCTGGGATTTGATGGAATGACAGTCATTCTCAGTCATGAATGCCCAAGGTGAAGGCGGGTGGTGGGTGCTGGAGATCACATTCAGCCTTGCTTATCTGGCGGGGCCCAGCCAGGGGGGATAGTGTGTGGGGACAGTGCGTGGATGAGCTTTGATGCCTGTGGGGGGTTGAGGAGCTGGAGCAGCTGTGGGACAAGAGGCAGCATGGGACGGAGCAGCTTTCTTAGCTCCACCCTCATCTCTGCCTCGCAGATGTGAGATGCCCTGTGAAGCCAACCCCTGCTTGAACGGGGGCACCTGCCGGGTCGCTGGGGGGCTGTATGAATGTATCTGCAACGCGAGGTTCTCAGGCCGGTTCTGTGAAGTGCTGGTGAGTGGTGCCAGAGGGGTGGGGGCGCCCTATTTTGGACTTTGGTGAGATGATGATGTGGGGGCCTGTGTACAGCACCTGAGGAGCTGTTCATGCACCAACCGTGTCGTGGGGTGGGGAGCAGCCGGGAAGAGACACTCAGGTCCCTTCCACGCCCCCAGGCAGGAGGCATTGCCACTCTAGGGAGAGTCTGGGGGGCCCTCGCCATCCCTCTGGGGAGTGACAGTGGGAACAGTTAGGCTCTGCCAAGTCCCATCTGGGCCCAGGATTTGGGGCCCACAGGATCTTGGAATTCTGGGGTTTCGGTTGGTGAATTGAAGAGCCTGTAATCTCTAGTGGTTTCTGAGCCAGGATTCTAGAGTAGGGAGATTTGGGGAGCCCAGGATTTGGAGCCAGAGCAGGCTCAGCTGCCAGGAAGGCAGCCCCTGACCCCAGGGAGGCTCAGCTGAGGAGCCACCCGGATAGACAGGGGCTGGGGGCCACTGGAGCTCCAACCTCCCTCTCACCCCCTCCCCATCACGGAGCAGAGCAGGCCCCGCAGGCCCAGCGGGCAGTGAGCCCACCGTGGGTGCTGACGGGAGGGGTGCGGGCAGGGACTGGGGAGAAGCCTTGATCTCCACAGGCTGCTGGCAGCCTGGGTCATAAACCCACAAATTCCCTCTGCTTCTGGGGAATGTTCCCTTTCAAGTTGAACTTTTACAGCCTCTGGATGCCCCCCACCTCCAGGGCTGAGGGAGGAAATGGCTTTATGGCTCTCCCAGAAGTGCCCGGGGTGGAGGCTGGTAAGGGCCCATTCAGGGCTGGGACGAACTTTTCCCTGCAGCCTTGGACCCTTCTCCAAGGTTGGGTGCTGGGACTTGGGACCTAGGTCACAGTGGGCTGAGAGGTCTCATGGGACAGAGGGAGGGCCGGTGAGTCTGAGAGCCCGTGGCTCTGGAGTTCTGTGATTCTGGGATTTCAGAATTCCAGGTGTGGAGAATCTTTCCTGGGGGCATCCTGGGAGGCGGTGGAGACAGGAGATTTGGCAGGCCTCCCGAAGCCTGGTCTGAGTCTCCCCAGGGGGCAGGCCCTGGTGGATTCCGAGCTCACCGTCAGCCAGGTGGGCTGCCCCTGCTCCTGCCCTGCCTGGGCCGCCTGGCTGGGGAGCCTCTCCTGCGGCAGCTGAGATGCCTCCCACTGTGCGGTACACACGATCCACGCAGACTCTTGAAGAAACCAGACCACCCTTTGGCATGGGGGAGGAGTCAAGTCCCCATGGGCTCAGATTGGATGAGTTTATTGTGAGGAGGGGGAGGCTGAGCAGGGAGCCCGGGTGGCAGGGCTGGGCACTGAGGCTCATCTTGGCCAGTGCAGGAATGGCCTCTGCTGGAATTCGAGGTTTAAGGTGGGGTGGGGGTGGGCATGGGGTGGCGTTGGGGGCAGAAGTGGGAGATGCTAGTCCTGGTTTGCCACCCACTAGTCACTGTCAGGGCATCTGGGCAAAGCCTCTGTTCTCTCACCTAATACTTACTGGTGCCCACTGTGCGGCCCTGCTCTGGGCACCGAGGTGCACCGGGAACAGAAGAAACCAGACTCCTGTCCTCACTCCCGCTCCGTCCGATGGTTGTAGTGTTATGTGAAATCCCATGCGCAGTGCTTGCTCATGGCAGGTGTTCCATAAATGTGTTTCCTCTCCTTCTAGCAGGAGCCCCTGGCTATGACAGGAATGCCCTTGCAGTGGCTGTGAAAGGTGTCTCCCCGGCACCTGCTTGTATACCCTAGTAGCCAGGTCTCTCACCACTGCCCAGGGAAGCCTGTTCCCAGCTCTATGTTCTCTGAGCCAGCCTTGTGCCCCTCTTCTCCTCTCCTCCGAAGGGCCTGGGGGCCTCCCCCTTCCTCTGCCTTAGGCCCCATTGTCGTGTCTCTTGCAGAAGGGCCTGCCGCTGCCACTGCCGTTCCCACTGCTGGAGGTGGCTGTGCCTGCAGCCTGCGCCTGCCTTCTTCTCCTCCTCCTGGGCCTCCTCTCAGGGATCCTGGCAGCCAGAAAGCGCCGCCAGTCAGAGGGCACCTACAGCCCGAGCCAGCAGGAGGTGGCCGGGGCCCGGTTGGAAATGGACAGTGTCCTCAAGGTGCCACCCGAGGAGAGACTCATCTAGGCCTGCAGCTGCCGGCTCTGGCACCCATGAGTCCTGGACGATTTCTGCTGGGAGACCCAAGGAGGCCGCTTCCAGGAGTGGCGGGAGTGGCTCGCCCCTTCTCGGCCTTGGGGAGCTGCTGCAGGGCCCGGAACACTCCCTCGGGAAGCGTCCTCTTTGCCGGCAGCCCTGCCTCTGCCCCATCATGGACTGAGGAAAAGGGGGCGCTCAGGGAACCAGAGAGGGGCCGGCCAGTTCGTGGACTTCGTCATTGGATCTGCTTAGTCTTGCCTGCTGTGCAGGGGCAGGGCACATGTGGGTGCACAGTGTTCAGGACTGTGTGTGCGTGTGTGTGTGTGTATCTGGGGACCGTCAATCTCCAGATCCCAGTGAGAGTGTCCTGGATGGGGCTTGTGAGTGTGTCTGGGTCTTTGCTGTGTGTTCATGTGACTGTCTGATGGCCGCTGGCGGTCCCATGAGGGGATCCCATGGAGGGCTGGCCGTGGGGCCACGGGGACCACCTGGGGCAGGGGCAACCGCAGGTTACACGTTCTCCAGGAGGCCAGGCCAGGGCTTGCCTAAGGACCTAAGTCCCAGCTCCTGTATCTTCTCCCACCTCGGAGGCTGCCCCTGCCCTGGAAGGAGTTGGAAATCATGGAGAGGCCATTAGCCAGAGGCCCTGTGGGCTCCTGGCTCCAGAACAAATGCTCCTCAGGCAGACCTGTCTCTGTTCTGTGCCGGAGCCAGGCACGTGCGGCACGCAGGCCACATCCAGGGCAGACCCACAGGAATAGGGGACGGGCCGCCCTGAGCTGCCCAGCTTGCTGGGGGGTGTCTGGGCTCTGTGTGGCCTTCCTCCCCGGGCTGTCATCTCTAGAATGGGAGAGCAGCCCCTGCCCACCTCAGGGTTGTTGTGAGGAGCAGCAGGGGTGACACCAGGAAAGAACTCTGTAAGCTGGGTCCACTGTGAAGGGCTGTCTGGGTCCTTTTAGATGTTGGGAAGGGTTGTCTCCCTTGACGGAGTTGAAGGAAAGAGTGGGGGAAGGGGCCTCCCTGAGGGGCAGCAAGAAGCAGAGGGTGAGGAAGTGAAGGAGCAACCTGCCCTCCCCCACCCCCACCCTTCTGGTTCTGCGGCTCCACCAAAGCCAGCGATCTCTCCTCCTCGAAGCCGCCTGGTGAGGCCACTCCCTCACTCTCTAGATGGCTGTTGGGAGGATGTGGGGAGAGGACTCCCCGGGAGCACTCTGCAGAGCAAGGTGCTCAGCGAACGGTGGCGCCGCCTCTTTGTGTAGGGGCTGGTGCTGCAGACAGGCACAGACGCAGGGGAAGAGTTTGCAGCTTTGCTTCCAGGCCCTTCCCTGGCAATGCCATCACACTGGGATCTCTGATCCTGGAGGGGCACCCGCCTGAGGGCCTGGCCTCTCAGCTTCACAGGGTCCCTTTGTTCCTGACCTGGAGATTTACCCTTGGCTCCTTCCTGTTTCCCAGGCCAGCGCCTCCTCTGCCAAGGCCAGGAGACCCCTTTCCACTTTCAGGTTGCAGGTTGACTTACCCAGCTCCCCTCGGGGTCTCAGCCAGCTTCCAGAGTCAAACCAGGTGGAGCCCTGTGTCGATGCGGAGGGAAGGGAGGGGTTGGGGGGCTGAGGCTGGGCTAGGAAGGGCCCTGAACACCAGGTTACAGGGCTTGCTTGGTCCTGACCCCGTAGGAGGTGGGGCCACCTTTCTTCATGACTCCTGGGAAAGGGAAGGAAACATCTGGTACCAACAGCTTAGCCACAGCTGGTGCCTTGGTTAGTTTGTCAGAAATTTGGCAAAACTGTGTTCTTGCAGACTCCTAAGACATTTTATGTGGAACCCCAAAATGCAAAAGCTGGGCTGCTCTTTTTTGGGGAGCCCTATGTTGTCCTCTCCTGCTCCTAAGAGTTCTGGGCACCCGTCATTTTCAAAGGCAGCCTGGGGAGGGGGATATGGCCAGATGATGGGCGGATGGGGTGTGAGTGGGTGTGTTTAACGGCCCCCCTGGGTGCTCGGTCCAGATCTCCCTTCCTGACACAAATGTCAACAGAGGCGCATGTTCCGAAGCTCTGCCCTTGCTAATGAGAGATCTAGGGGCCGGCTTTCTAGGTGTCTCCTTGAACTTGTTCCTTCCTGGAGCCTGGTGCCTTCACATCACAGAGCCCTGCTGACCAGCCCAAGCCCTCAGGCCCTGCTTGTGAGGGGAAGGGGCTGAGCTGGGCTCAGCGGTCCGAACTGGAACAGGCTTGGGGGTGGGTCAGGGGTCAGATCCTTCCCTGATGGCTCCGAGCCCCTGCCTCCACCTCTACGGAAGGGGGTGTAAAGATGGCTGAGCCCCCCTCCCCCAAGAGCTTCCTCAGGACAAGGATGCCAGTCTTCTCCCCAAGAAGATTTTATTGAATGCACACACAAAATTTATCCTTGGGTTTGCAAATTCAATCCAGCGAGTGAAGACAGCAGTGCTCATGTGAACATGGAGCGCCCACCACGAGCCCCCAGCACAGCCAGGGAGACCAAGGTGTGGGCGCCATTTTCTTGGGGCCGCCTGGTACCTCTTGTCTCATACTCTGCCCACCTGGTGGGCTGCCCCGTCCCTGATGGGGCTCAGGGCTTCGCCCAGGATGGGTGGTTCTGGAATCTGTGCTGAAACCTGAGTATCCTAGACTAGGTGCCCACATGACCCAGGTGTGACATGGCTCCCCCCAACCGCTGCCATTCCCAGCAGCCAGAGACACTCTCACGATTGAGAGGCTTGCCTGAGGGGCTGTGATTGACTCAGGAAGGGGTATGCCAGGCCAGCAGCTCATCGCATGCCGCGTCGGAGCAGACTTTGGGGCCAAGGCTCCAGGCCTCAGGGAACCACAGCGGGGGTGGCCTCCCAGCCCCTCAGACACTGAAAAAGCTCCCTGGGGTTCGGGGGCCTCCAGCAACCCCCTTGTCCCGTCAGACACCTGAGACTGTGTGTCTGACCACTCACAAATAGGAAATGAGAAACCAGGTCAAAATGCTCACAATTTCCTGCATGTCTCAGATGGTTGTTTTCTTAAATGGTTGGGCCATTTTTTAACTTGGTTTATTCAAACTAGTCAATTTCAAGATTCATCAAACCAATAAAGTAAAGAAAAAGAAAGATAAAAGAAACAATAACAAAACATTTCAATTTAGCTTTGGTGACGGCAGCCTCAGGAATTTCTGTGCTGGCGGACAGAATCCGAGGTGCAGGGAGGGGGTGGCCGCCAGCCCTCCTCCTGCCTCCAGGTGCAGGAAGCCAAGTCTGTCCATTCCACTGGCCTGGGGAAGGCACGCAGTGCCCCTGCCCATTCCTGACCCCGGGAGCCCGGGCAGCGGGGACCCCTCGTCAGTCTGTGGGCCTTTAGCTTGGCCTTCCAGTTGGGATCTGGGGGCCTGCTTCTTGGCTTTGCCCCTGCAGTCCACGCAACAAGAGCCTGAGCCCCATTTGACAGCAATACGAGACCAGGAGAACCCGCGGGGGGCCAGAGTGAGCGCCTGGACAGATGAGGGCCTGGCTCCTCCTCTGAAGCACTCAGATTTGCCGGTTGCTGTGTTCTCTTCTACAAATCAGAGTTGCTGGTGCTCCCAGCCCCCATGCAGAGCTGACTGGGGCTGGGTTTGGCCATCATGAGGGATCTCAAGGATCCCTCAGCCGCCAAATCCCTATCGAGCCAGAAACAACTGAAGTTTGGGGTTGGGTGAAGACTCACAAAAGAATGAGTGTGCATATTGCTGGAGAGGGTGTGGAAATGCCTGCCGGGGGGTCTTCCAGCCTGGGAGGGGGGCTCCTTACTTCAAACTCCAAACCACGCATCTCGGGCAGACGAGCTCACGCCGAGGGTACTGCTGACGCCTGCGCCCGTTGAGGAGGGGTGTGCAGGGCCGGGCTGTATGGGCAGGAGAACAGGGCTCGGGACGAGATGCCTGAGGAGCCTTGGGGCTCCTGGTGGGAGGTTTCCAGAGGGAAGGTGGGCAGGACGTGGTCTGGGGCCGCCACTGGCCCAGCTGACCTCTTTAGTGCAAAACCCAGTCAGGGGTGCTGGGGAGGAGTGGTGGCGGGGTGGCACGGGCACCCAGGAGCTGGGTCCATTCCAGACCAGAACTGGCGCCATTCTCGAGCAGCCAGACCTCAGAGATGGGCAGTGTGGTGGAGAGGAGGGGCAGCAGGGGGGTCCCATCCCTTCCCACCAGCAGAACCTGGGCAGAAACAGAGCGCAGGCGCGGCAGGGCCACAAGCCTCAGAGCCTCAGCGCCCGGCTCACTCGAAGGTCTCCCACTGCTTCCTGAGCTGCTCCACCGAGCCTGAGGCCGGGGCTGGGCTCACGTCCTGCTTGGTTTTCTGTAACAAATCCTCAAAGGGGTCTCTGGCCTCTCGAGGAGCAGAGGGCTGCAGTGCTGGCTCCAGGCCCTGGGGGGGCCTGGGAGGAAGGAGTAGGGGGTCTCCAGGCCTCAGGGCCAGCCCCTGCTTGGCCTCGGCAGCCCTGGCACTTGAGCGGGCCAGGGGCAACGTTCGGATCCTCGAAGGGACAACTGCTGGGGGGCCCAGGGGCTGCAGGGGGCTGGTGTGGGCACCCATGGGCATCTGGCCAAACAGGTTGGGCATGGAGAGGGCAGACAGGTTCGGGTGAGACCTGTGTGGGGCACAGAAGCCAGAACTGGACAGTAGGAGGCTGGGGGCAAAAGCTGGCCGCAAGGAGGCAGGAGGGGCCCCAAGAGGCCCGGCTGGAGTGGAGATCAGGGACATGGCAGGCAGTGCTGCTGGCATGGACGGGACAAAGGGGTTGAGTGATGGCTGTGGAAATGGGGTGGGGGTCCCTGCCGGGGGAAAGCTGAACTGGGGGCTGAAGGGGGTGGCTACATTTGGGGCTGCAGGGCCTGGTGGAACATTACTGCCTGACCAGGCTGTGTTAAGTGGGTCCAGGAGGGCCAGCAGGGCGTCACTGCCTGTGCCCGCAGTCCCTGGGGCCAGGTTGAGCGGCTGGAGCAGTTCAGTGGGGTCTTGGGGCACAGCCCTGGGGAGGAGCCCGGGGAACGGGGCTGGGCTTAGGGCAGCTCGTCTCTCCCGCTCGGCCTGCAGCCGCTCTGAGAAGTCGCCAAGGGCGGTGCCAGCAGCCTGCAGCTTGGCTGGGCGGGCAGTGGGGGGCGGGGGCACGATGCCCAGCTCTGGGGTCTTCCTGCCTTGGGGCCGGGGAATGGTGATGCTGCCCAGAGTGGGGGTGGGTGCCTCCTCATCACTGGGGTTCAGGATGCTGTCCCGGTTCTGGGGTCTGCGGGGCAGGGCCAGGGAGTTCCCGAGCAGAGCTGAGGGCTTTTCGGGCGAGGTGGCCAGGGGCTTGCTGGGGATGGCCATGTCGTCCTGGCCCAGGCTCCAGAGCTTGTTGTATGGGTGGGCGAGCTTCAAGGCCACTGGCATCCCGTGGCTCCTCTCACTCCTGCCCAGGTCCAGCCTCTGTTGGAGGGAATGAGGGAGGTGGTGACCATAGGCTGACCTGGGACAGGCTGGATGGCAGCACATGCCATTGCACGTCCCCATGTCCCCCCACCACCCCGGGTGCTGGGCGGTCACTGGGACTGCGCTCACAGGCATGTGGCTGAGTAGCTGCCAGGACTCAGAGCAGTTGGGGGCTCAGCCCAGGTCACCAGCAGAGAGCCCAGGTCTGTTGGACTCCCACCCAGGCTTTTCTCACAGTGTGGCACAAAGGGATTCCAAAGCAAGCCCTTGTCCTTTCACGCCAGTGGCTGCCAGGTAGTTTTAGGAAAACGACTCATCTCCTGACCCTCTCCTGGCAGGCCCTTTTCCTCTTCACAGCATGTGGGCACTGTCCATCACCGTTAGCCCAGGTGGGCGAGTGAGGCGCGGGCGGGGCGAAGGCACACTGGCTGGGAAGTGGGACTGGGCTCTGCGCACACAAGTGACAGGACTGGGCGTCGCTTCCCTTCTCTTGGCCCGAGCTTCCTCATCAGCCGTGTGGGAACAGTAATTCCCCACAGGGGTGACACATGAATCACTGGATATGGGGGAGCTTTGTCAATTCCACAGTGTGACTCAGTGACTGCAGAGTCAGCAGCCCCCACTTGCAAGTGAGGAAACTGAGGCACAAAGAGGGAGTGTGATAGATTGGAAGTCACAACAGAAGATCAGTGGTCACACCTGAATAATCCAGAACCCAGGAACTTTGATCCAAAGGCTCTCCAAGGACACTTGGTGGGGATGGGAGCAATCCCGGTTCCATCAGGGGTTGAAGCCCTGCCTCGGGGTCGGGCTGGGAGTCCTGGGGAGAGTGGCCTGGATCGCTGCCCCCCCGTCTGACATGTGAACAGAAGTGGGGGTCAGATTTCCATCAGGCTCTAGCACCTTCTGCAGTGATCCCTGTGAGGGTGGTCTGGCCGCTGGCCCACCTGGCGGGGTTTACAGTCAGACGGACCCTGAGCACTGGCTGAGGACCTTGCACAAGTCGCTGTTTCTCCCTTGGTCTCCTTCACTGTCACATGGGCAACCTGCTCGTGTGGGGAAGGCCTCCCCCGCCCGCATAATACCTGATAGTCAAAGGTCCCTGGTTGCTCCCTGAGGTCTTTGGGGGTCCGAAGGTCCTCTAAGCTCTTGGCCTGGCCCAGTGGTTGCAGTGGGACCTCCATGTCCAGGCTGCTGAAGACGTCTTCCAGGAGGTCGATGCTGGCAGCCCGGTCGGGCGGAGCTGGGGCAGGGCCCATGGGCTCCCGGGCTCGCTGCTCTGGGCTCTCCGCCTCGTCGCCGTCGGCACTGTCTGACTCCTTGAGTGTCCGGTATGGCTGTGGCCTGGGAGGAGGCAGAGCAGGCTGGGTTCTCCCACCCTGAGCCTCCCCTGGAGGAGCCAGCCACCCCCACCCATTCCCAGGAACTTCCAGGCCTGGAGGCGAGCTCCTGGGAGCCTTGGGGTCAGGAGAGTATCCTGTGGTCCCCGTGAGTGCAGGAGTCTGGGTAGCAGCACTGACAGACCTGGGGCTGAACCTGGGCTCTGCTGCTCACTGTGGGACCTTGGGCAAGTCGCTTGGCTCTACCTTGCACTGGGGGGCCCACTTAGTTCCCCTCAAACCACATGGCCTTCCACAAAACTGGCTAATGGGCTTGCAAGCCATTCAGACAAGCTCTGAGGAAGCAGACATGTCTGGAAAGGGAAGAGGCACGCAGAGTCATTCCTGAGCCCACCGTCTGCGCTCCCACCCCCACTGCGGCAGTTGGGTCCTAGGAACCCAGCTGGGGAAAGTCCCCAGGGCAGCTGCCCAGTGTGCCCCGGGATCCTCAGGGGGACCGTCTGGGCCTCAGCCTGTGCTGACCTCAGTTCTAGCTCTGGTCATACCATCTCTTGCTGTGGGACCTTGGGCAAGTCACTTAACCTCTCTGAGCCTCAGCCATGCTCCTGTTGCAGAGTGCACCTCCCTTGTAGGTGGTGGTGGAGACTGTGAGCGAATGCAGCGCCTGGTGCACAGCAGGCATGCAGAGACTGTTAACAGCATTCTGCGCGTTCATGCACCCAAACCTTGCAGGGACCCAGGTGAGGTGACAAAGGGTCCTCGTGCTTTCCTTTCTCACAAGCCTGAGCCCCAGGGTACCACTGGGTACCTGGAGAAAGGTGCCTGGATATACTGGAGCTCTAGCGGAGCCGGAGCCGGGGCCAGAGCACGTCCCGCCTCCTCTCACCAAAAGGCTGGGGCTGGTCAGGCAGAAACTGCCCTTGGCTCAGGTAAAGTGGGGGGAAGGACGCCACCTGCTGGTCCCAAAGGTCCACTCTCAGGAACCAGGGCAGAGGACAGACAGCAGAGGGAGAGGGCTCAGCCTACTGGCAGGGACTCCATCAGCCTGTGGTATCCTGCTGAAGCAACACAAGCAGCCCATGAAGTACGACTCATACCCTCACTTTGTAGATGAGGAAACTGAAGCTCAGAGAGGCTAAGTGACTCATTCTATGTCACACAGCACCTGGCAAGAGGTGGAAATGAAAGCCAAGTATGAGAGACTTCAAAAGCCCCTCACTCACTCTGACTAAGCCATCTGACCAGGGAATTAAAGCCCCTTTAACCCAGTTGAACACAATGAAGGAGATACAGAAAAGTCAGCGTGCTTCTTACAATTAAGGAAATAGTGATCTTTAAAAAGAGCCCACTTTGTCTAGAGTTAAGATGGGCCACTTCCTTTTCCTACACACAAAAGCCAATACTTTTATAGATCACGGCTAAGGGAGTGAGCAATACCCATTATTTAAATAAGTAAGGCATCAATTAACTCAAAAAGAGCACGGCCTGCTGGGCTCCGCAGTGGGGCCTGCACATCACCCAGGCAGAGTGCTCCACTTGCATGGTGAGTTCAGGCTCATACCCGGATAAACATTTCTTATTCCAGTGATTTTCTATTTTAATTAATAGTAGAAACGGGAACTGATACAGTAAGCGTATGATGTCATAGATATTATTGCTTAGGACGAGGCTGATTTCTAAAAGTTTTAAAGAAAAATTTGAAAGAAAAAATGTACAGAAAAGGTGGCACGTGAAGCCTTGGCAACACTGACTGAGGCCACCACTTTCTAAGTGAGGGTGTCAGGAGGGGATCGACTTGCCCATGGTCACAGGTGAGCTGGTGGCAACAAGGGCCCATGGGGCAGTGGCAGGAGCACAGCTGTCCTCAGGCCAGACCACAGGGAGGGGCTGGCACCTAGGGCCCGATGCTGGGGACTGGGACAGGGAGGTGGTGGAGGGGATGTGAAGGGCTGGAGGGAGGAGCCCCTCCTCTGCGACAGCCATAACAGTTTACTCCCTAGAGGGCTGAGTGGGCCCCGCAGGTGCTCAGCCAAGGGCGGTTCCCTTCTCTTACAGGCTCCCATTAGAAACACCACACAACCTTGTCAACACGGAAACATGACAACAGCCATCCCTTTGCTCAGTCCTAGCTCTGAAAAACCTGTGGTTGGAGGGGCAAGAACCAGCAAAATAAGGGGAACTCCCAAAGCCCAATTTTGGGGGTGGGTAGATTGTGGGTGAACCTTTTTTTTTCTTGTTTTATTGCAATTTATAATTAGAATGAGGCTTAAGCTATAAATAGTAATGATAAAAATTATCTTAAAGTCAGGCAGATGAATAAAACATTTGGATATGCCAGCATTAATATACATATTCCATATCAATAAAGTTTTTTTTTGAAACTTAAAACCTGACCCTCCAGCTCCATGGCTTTCCTAGATATGCTGAGATAAAGGATTCAGGCCTCAACCACCAGGTTAACGCAGCCACCAATTCCATTAACAATTAAGTGCATTTTCCCCATATAAGGAATGCAGACTGATGCTCCTGTCTCACACCTTTAGAGCCCTGTCACTCCTGTCACCTCACTCCACTGTCACAGCACCTGTGGGCTGGCAGAACGAAGGCCCTGGGAGGAGGCACACAGAGGTGGCATTCCCCTTGCAAGGTAGCACTGGGGCACCGGAGGTGGCAGCTCCAGACACCCCTCCCCCAACACACACAAGCGCAGGCAGCACTGGCCACCCCCTCCCCCATAAGTGGCCCCAGAGAGTCACCAAGCCGAGTTCAGGGAAATAGAAGAAGGAAGGAGAGACCATTCAAAGGGAGCGGAGAAGAAAAAGCTTTCGGTGAAGCCAGAGCTCGGGCCCTCTTCCTGCTGGCATTCATCGTCAGAGGAGTCTTCGGAGAGGAAGACCGCATAGTGTCGCAAGGGCTTTACCAGGCTGGGGCAGAGGAGACAAGAGAGGAGAGAAGCGTTAAGCGGTGCCCTCAGAACTCCACACGGCAGGGTGGGCAGGAGGCCTCTGTGTCCGGCGCCTGGCCCTGGCCTCCCTTTGCCAGCCTGGGGTGGAGGCTCCCTGGAGAATGCCACAGGTCACCAGAAGCCCGACAGGCCCCATGGTGAGAAAGCTGGTCCCAAACAGAAAAGAAGCTGTGTGTTTGCCACATGTGTCAAGAGCTCTCAACACACAGTCCCATCCTCGAGGACCTGGTAATGCCACTTCCATCGAGATAACCCTAAATGGAGCAAGGAATCACGCACAAAGATGTTCATGGCTGCTATGTTTACAACGTTGAAACATGAAACCACCTAAATTTCCAGCAACAGGAATCTGGTGAATTATGGTACAGTTGGCTGAATATTATCCTCCCATTAGTTATAATGTTTATAAAGAAAAATCTAAAAATCAGGATGCAGAATTGCAGTTATGTAGCATTCTCTCTCATCTACTAATAGAGAAATGCATAGAAAAAAGACTGGAAAGGTTCCTAAATGTCAACAAGAGCTAGTGGGATTATGGGTGATTTTTCTCTTCTGCCTCCTTTTGTTTTCTGTGTCTTCTACATTTTCTACAATGTGCATATCGACTTCACTAATCAGGAAAAAATAAAAAATAAAAAAGTTGAAGAAGGTGAGCCACGTGGAAGAGCACTCGCCAGGAGGCCCTTTTCTGATTAGCGGTTGCTCTCTGGAGTCTCCCTCAGATGCCTCTTCAGAGAGTCTTCTTCATCTGTGATGTGGAAATTAAATATTCATTGTTATAAAAAATACATCTCCCTTGTCAGCCACCTGTGAGCTCTACCTCTATAAACACAAACATACACAGCCCAGAGAAACTCCACGCCCGGTCCTATGAATTATACACCGACTGGGGCCCGCGCACGATGCGTGCCCAGAAAGGGATGGAGGGCAGACCTCGGTTCAAGTCCCGGCCCCACGGCTGCGGCTCAGGCTCGCAGCTGGGGGCGGGCAGCGCAGGCCTCTGCCCTGCACAGCGGGCTGCGCAAGCGCTGAGGATCCCCGGGCGGCGAGGGCAGTTTGGGGAGAGCGTGGGGCAGGAGACACAGGGTGCCTGGGGGGGCTATCCCCCCCTGCCAGAGACTCTCCTTCCTTTGCTTTCTATGATGCAATTTCTTTCAGGTTTACTTCAGGGAAGGGCAAGGTGTCTGAAACCAGTGCGTGGGAACCACGGCTGCAGAGCAAGTCCCCGGGGGACTGGAGAGGGATTGTGCCCGGAATCTGCCACGATTCTCCATCACTGATGCCAAGCCAGTTGTTACCCAAGAACACGCTGTTCTTTCAAAGGTAGCAGCAGAGCAGCTGCCAGGAGCTGCCGAGCGCCCCAGCACTTCCACCCCAGAACCCCTGCACTTCCGCGCATGGGCCCTGGAAATTAGCTGGGCAGAGAGTTTTTCCTTCGTACTGAAGTGGACGTCGAGGCTCAGAGAGGGAAGCCACTCACCCAGGGTCGTACACAGGGAGCTGGCGGGTCACAGCACTCCTCTCCCAGGCCGCCTTGTTGGGTGTTAGGGACGAGACACACCTTGGCCCTCCCTGGACTAGAGAGGGGCACCAGCCTTGGAGGGGCATTTTCCTCCGGGCCCAGAGAGGATAGGAAGAAGATCCGATCTGCAGAAATGTGGCCTGGTCAGCCTCAGGACAAGGCTGCCCTGCTCCTGCCACTTCCACCAGGACACAGAACAAGGCGCAGCAGAGGGGCCAGGCTCCCCGCTGCCCCGGGCCACTCTCCACACAGCCACGCGAATCCTGTTCAATCACAAAGCCGACCCTGTCACTCGCCTGCTTAACACCTGTAAACTCGCCGCTCTATTGCTCTCACGGCAATAGGTTGTGTGGCAAGTTAAACCTACTGAGAAAAGTGTTAGGAACATCAAGGTTCAGACACTTACAGAACAATGTCCTTGTCCGTGTTAAAGTCAGAGGCCCACCCCTCCGCCCCAGCACTGGGCTGCTCTCCTGAGCAGGCGAAGGGTGAAGGGGTGGGCGGACACCCTGGCCTCATGCTCTGCGCTGGGAGCCGGTGGAATGTGCTGAGTGGGCGGGGGCCAGGGCTGCAGAGCAGCAGCTCCAAGCAGGGCAGACACCGTGCGGTACGCCTGGCCCTGTCCACCTCGGAGGCCACCAGTGCCTGTCTTCTTTGCCTGGTGCACCCACTGCTCTTCAGTCTTGAAGGCTCAGCTCAAATGGCTCTTCTAGGAAGCCTTCCTGGGGTTCCCGGCTGGAGTCTCCTCCTGGATGGAGTTAGCTTCTCCTCGGGCTGCACGCTTAGCACGCCATGCATACCACCTAACCTTGAATTGCAGCTCCTCAAGGGCAGGGGCCTGGCTCACTCTTCTCTCTCCCCGCCTGGGGCGCAGCATTAGCACAGGAGAAGTTTGCTGATCGAATGAGTGGAAGCAGTGTGCTGGGGAGGCAAGACGCTACACACTCCCCATTTCATCACGCACTCATCTTCCTGGAGCCCGGCCACGGCACTTGTCCCTTTTAACACAGTATGAAAATGTCCCCTGAGTTGCCCATCTGTCCTCTGGGAGGCTGAGACCTGGAGAATGGGACCACGTTTGGGGTGGGGGTGTTAGGTATACAGGGGCAGGCGGGAGTCTCGGAAAAAGGTTAAGAATAAAATCCAGAAGCAGGCACGTACCAGGGGCTTTATATAGGTTATTTCTACCCTTCCCAACAGCCTAGCAGGAGGGCATCACTGTACTGATTTTACAGAGGACAAGACTGTCATTAGTCCATCCACACACCCAACCAAGAGGCACTTCCTGAGCGCTTGTTGTGAGCAGACCCAGTGCTCGTGGGAATCACTGGTGACGAAGAGCTGTGATCCGGTGACCAGCCAGGACGTGCCGAGCAGGGATGCCAGCCCAGCGCCCTCACTCTCCTGTGAGCTGGGCTGGTGGCGGATGTAGATGAGGCGGACACGCACCTCTGCTTGGGTCACACTGACTGGGGCTCTTGGATGCCCTCAGATCCGCCTTGAATGCCTTTCCAACACCCATCCAAGCACAGCCCCTCCTCTCGCTTTGACAGCAAAGCAGAGACCACAGCTTGGCACATTAGTCCAATGCCACTAAACCTGCCAGGAACGTCTGGACTCACAGGAGAGCAAAGAGCTTCTGTGCTGGACTGGACCTTGGCTTCATGAAAACAGGCTGCTGCCATTCATGGCGCTGTCAGAATCCAGTGCGGGATCCCGGGGGCGGTGAGGGAGGCAGAAGGGAGGGAGCCTAGAACTCCCCTCACAAACCACTTTCCCTTTCCAGGTGACTCCTGGCCAGGCCAGGCTGGGTGGGCAGTGGCTCCAACAAGAGGCCCAGGGTGTCTCCTGAACACGCCATCTGTCTCTCGAGAGTGACGGAGCACCCAGGCGAGAACTTTGCCATGCGGTTTGGTCAAATGAGAGTTGTTTTCAAGTCAGGCTTCAGGCCACATGGATGACGATGATAACACTAGCAGTACTTACAAGTGTTGGGTTAAATGCTGTCCATACAGTTTCTAATTAATTCATCATCACATCTTTACTTTGCAGATAAAGAAGCCAAGGCTCAGAGAGGGGGAGTCAGTTGCCCATTGTCACACAGCAGCTAAAGGTAGAGCTGGTAATCTGGATTTGCCTGACTCTAAACCACTTGGCAATCCTGCCTGTTCAGTTTCGTGGATCTGAAACAATGAAATAAGGGGTAGGGTGTTTCCCCTTCTACTTTTAATAAAAGGGGAGATTTCAAAATAAACTTATTTAAATTCAGCTGCTCATGTTCTCCCATGAAACATACAGTCAGATATTTGTCAGAGATAAAGGATAAACCATTGCAAACGTCCAGGTTTAAATTTTTTATTAGCTTAAGGCAGAATATGAAAAAAAAAAATTGCACCTCTTCCCTCATTAACCCAATTCAGCTACTACCCTGCAGTCTGCCACCCACCACTTGCCTGGGTTTTATTACACACAAAGAGCTGTCTGTGAAAAGGCAGGTTGTGGCAAACTTGGCTGCCCAGCGAGGGCTGCCGGAGTCTTGGCGAGAAAGAAAGGCCCGCTGTCCATCACCGTTCAGGCCCCATCATCTCCCATGGCTGCTCCCGCCTCTGCCCACCTCGTCTCGGTGCGGAGCTCCCAAGCAGATGACTTCCCGAACCCTTTCTAATGTTTGGTTTAACGTGTCGCCGGTTAGCGCACGCGTGTGACAGTGGTGACAGGCGCGGCTGTTCCTTTTTAAATACCATGTCAGAGACACGGCGTCAGGAGGCGGGACGTGCTCTGTGGCTCTCTGCCGTGCCGGGATCGCACGGGCTTACTTTTAATGAGGAAGATCTGCATCGTGAGAGTTTTTCATGTGTCACATCGCGTGGACAAATCGGCAGCACGTCACGCTGGCCCCAAATGAAATGCTGACAAATGTAGATATTTCAAATTTAATTGACATTTAAATGTACTTGAGATAGAGAAGGGAAAAAATCAGCAAGGACTTGGTCTCTGGAGGTAACAAGGGGAGCTGCTGATCATTTTCTAAAGGATCATTTCACTCCAGCACAAAGCATCTTTACTCTGTGAACGTCTGGGCCGCGCTGGGGTCCCTTGATTATGAGGCCCCTGTGGGGCTGATGAGCAGGGACAGGCCCCAGGACAAGGCCTGTCCTGCCTGCCTGGTGGATGTCAGTCTGTCCAGTCTTCCCCCATCCCGCACTTCCCAGCCAGACGATCTTGGGAAGGTTATTTCCTCCCCGAACCTCAATTTCTTATCTGCAAAATGGGGATTCTACAGCCCTCCTGATGGTCTTATCACAAAAGTTGAATGAAAATATTTGTAAACGCTTTGCGTAGTGCCTAGTCCATATTCAATTGCTAGCCATAGGCCACATTCACCTGCCAACAAATAGATTTTGGGCATTTTCATACCGTGCAGGGTCTTCCCCAGG